ATATGGAGGAAGATAGAGAAGAACGAATTCGAAAATTTTAAGCTATTTGAAATATGAGAATTAATTATATTTCATATTCATATTGAATTAATATCACGTAAAATATTTAAGATGGAAAACGTGGAATTCACGTTATTGAATTAAATTTTCAAGGAGGGGGGGTTAAACAACCTTAAAAGTGGTTAGAAATCTGTATTAAACCCTTACGGAAAATTCATATTGTATTTATAAGTAAAAATAAAAAAATTTTTCTTTTTTTTTTTAACTTACGTGGACCACCACCACCGGAGGATTCTGTAAATTACTGTTGAGTATATCAGATACTCTTGTTCTTTCCGACTTGACATCCACATCTTCGTATTCACCGACATCGCTATTTTCCAAAACTTCTTTAAGGTTAGGCGAATCATTAGACTGAAACAAAAAAAAAAAAAAATTTTAGAAAAATAATTTCATTTTCTTTCGGGAATAATTTCAGAGAAAAATTATTAATAAAAACTTACGGTAAGAAATTGAAAAGCTTCGCTAATTTTACCACCCGATTTTTTCACATCCACGATCCTCAACATTAAAAACCAAAATGGTATGTGTAATAGCGAGCTAAATATCATAATTATAATTTCGTCCGTTAAATAATCACTAAATACTAAATAATTGCAAGCCGGATTCATTGAACACATTATGTAAACTCTATCGACGAAATAAATAACAGCGTATGGAACGTAGAGGGTATTGACCAATGAGAAAAAAGTGTGTAAACCAATAACTGCTCTTCCACCTGAAAAGAAAACAAATTGTGAGACATTTGAAAAAAAAAAAAAAAAAATTATTCAGTTTTGATCATCGTGATTTACTTACCTATACGAAACATGTCCAATATGATAACGAGTGAAAAAGGTATTATACCGCTAAAAGTAACAATATTTGGCAAAATGCTTAAAGCTGTATCAGCTTTATCAAATATGTACGATAAACAAGTGCAGCATAAAATACTCGATGGGCAGTAAAGTATGATCAATATTCCGAGCATCATAAATGCAGGAGGTTCACGTAAAGAAGGTAAATCGAATATTAATATCAAAAGTATTAATGAAAAGCAAATGAAAAGCATGAGAACTCCCAAAACTATGACATAAGTTAGAAAATATTGACTGAAACTTAAACCGTTGACGCGTAATTGATTTCTTGCTTTGATCTGAAACCGAATACAAATGGTTCGTCTTTCATTTCTTCTCCACAAATTACTTTAAAACGTTAAATTTTTTACCTCTCGATCGTACACCATATCCACGGCTAAACTAACAGGTACCAAAACGAAAGTCATTCCAATGAAAAGAGCAGACGTGAAAGTTCCAAAATGTAAACCTTCCGGTTGTGATGTTTGCTGAAAAGGATGAGTTTTCATAACGATCGGAGGATCGAACATTCCGCTGCTTTTACCGTGTACAAAAAATCTAATGCAAAAATTAATTAATTTTAAATTATTTATTTGACGAAATTCATTTTTTTTTAATTTTTACAACAAATAACCTGTATAGAGCGTTGTTTAATAAATTCATCAAAATCGGAAGAGAATGTTGCATCGTGTCATTATAAATAGCTGTTATGTTAAAAAAAGGAGGTTCGAAAACATTTATATTGAGAGCAGCCATGTGAGGTTTGACTTCTAGGAGGAGCGAATAATTTCCATTGTATTTTTCAATGTCATCAAAACCAGACATGAGGAGCATTTTGTAAAACTGATCGAGATTTGTATCGGAACCGTTGTAAACAGCCAAATTAGTTTCTTTCAAATAAGTTTCTACAGGAAACAGGAAAAAAAAAAAAAATTGACGTTAAAAAATCATTTTAAAAAATTTCAAAAAATTAATTAATTTTAAAAGGAATTGCCTGAATCAAGTTGAAGTGAAGTTTGTTGAGATCCTATTTCTTGTATTGAATTCATGTACAATCCTAAAGCAGCAAAAGCGAGAGGTAAAATAATCATTATGTATAATTTTTGAACGTCTCTAAACATCCTTAATACTCTCAGTCTTAATAATGCAACTAATGTTTGAAAAAAATTCGGTTTGGTTACAAAATTCTTATAACCTAAAAGAACAAAAAATGTTACATTACAAAAAGAAATATTAATTTGAATTTTTTTTTTTTTTTTTTTTAAATTTACCACCGAATCCTTGAACGCCCGTCAACGGTGCATTTTCGTTCGCATGCAAAATATTATTTTCCAAATTTTCATTTTGTGGTTTGGTAATACCATCAACATTATTGCTTATCCCTCCGATTTCATTTTGAAGACTTTGGTAACTCGTACTTTTACTTTGTAAACTTAACGATCTGCTTAACGCTCTGTTTCTAACCATTTTTTTACTAAGATTATCCATAACGCAATCCGTTTCTTCGTCTCTTTCAAGATGAAGAAATACCTAAAATTTATATAATACAATTAATAGAATTTTTTTAATAATTAAAACAAAAAAATTTAAACACGTGTAATACT